TTTTCTAGGTGATTTTAATACATTACTTACAATTAATCATCGTCACATAGTTAATAATAAGTTGTAAAAAGTTCCTAAATGCATCTTTTGTGTTAAGAAGTTTCATTATGAGCTTCCAGTATATATTTTATTTCGCGAAGGAATGTATCAAATTAAACCCGTGTAATTAACAGAGTCAGAAGAAGATATATAATTTCACAAAAATATCCGAGCATTTAATAATATATTTGGTTTAATTTTACATCTTTCAAAGTTTAAGCATGACAATGAATGAATTTTCAAGGAAAGAAATTTATACATCTAAGGATAAAAACAAATAAATCACGATCTTTTAGAAATTAATCCCAAGTGATAACAATTCATGTTTTCTTAGTTGTACTTTTTTTAATGCAACCTATATAAGTTGTGGAATAAGATATCTAAACTTCAAGAAGCAAACTTATAAGAGAAAGTCGTGGATAAAATCTTACAAATAATTGATGAAACTTCGAATGCTTAATTCTTTTGCTAGCTAAAGCTATAACATTCGGCATTTTGAAATTTAAAAATTAAAATAAAATCAAATTAAGTACAAAAAATAATATGTACCTAATTAAATTTTCATAGTTCATCCTCGTAAGTTAAGATGATTTTCTTGAGCTCGATAAAGAAATAAGTCATCATACCAGAATACACCATTGATAATTCACCAAAACTTGCATGCCCCTTATTCTAGGTGCACAATTTTTTTTAGGAGATTTGGGGTCGGTCACCTGAGTTCATGCAGATGACGTGGACTATACCACACAAAATTTTGGGAATCGTCCTAAATTCTTATTTTTTTTAAATTATTACGAAATCGTATATTACTTGACTCGGCATACACGTGCAGCAGAGAAACTAGTTAAATATAAAAATGTGTCTTTTTTTAAACAACTAAAAGAAAGGAGTATCATAAATTAGGCTAGGTTTTCTTATACTTCAAACCGACCATTGACCCCTAATCCAATGGGATATATTACGAGCCTTGTATGTAAAAAAGGCAAAAGCTCAGACAACTGCACAAACTGAAAAAAACAGTAGTACATATTAATCAAGCAGGCGCTATTGGAGCAACTAAAGCATAGAAGAAAAAAAATTAAAGGCCCGTTCGTTATTTCTCTTCATTTCTTTTTAAAAAATTGAACTAGACGTTTGACATGAAGGAAGGTTTAGTGGTGATGAAAATTACGAAATTGACGTCGGATTCGGAGTAACTCCAGGGAAAACTACCCAAACTATCACTTCGTCAGCAATTTCTACCAAAACTAGCGCAAAAATAAAAATATTTACCAGAAAATGCCCAAATATCATTTTAATCCGAATAATTTTCAATTAATATCAGTTTTTAAAGCATACAGTGAGCTAAAGTAAGTTTCAAATAATCAAGCACCTTAATTCGATTTAGAAATCACTATTAAACGTTAGTTTATTAGATTGGGACGAAGGATTAAACTGAAAACTCCATGGTTAGCCATTGAAACTTCTTGAATTCAAAATTTTAGATTTTTTAAATTAAAATTTATTTCGAGTGGGTATTATTATAATAGATTGAGTATATTTTAAGGATTGGGAATTTCAATTTTTGGACGATGTGGTAAAAATTTCTCCGTTAAATTTTTTATCACTTTATTCCACTTTTATTTTTGTTTTTATTTATTCTAGATAAATAACCTAATCCTAAAATTAGTGCTTGAATACTTTATACACAATCATTAATCTATTATAGTTGTCGATAGCCACAATGTCACTCTTTTGATTTTTCTATTTTGTATTTTATGACTATTTTTGCAATTTTAAAGAAATAAAGGCCTTTTTAAAATAAAAAATTTGTCACTCTTTTTTACCTATTTTTTAATTCTTTCCAATTAAATCGGTGAATCCTAAAATTTGGCATACTGTGCTAATTATGGCATACCAACATATAGTATACTAAGAATATTAAGAGTACCGTGATTCAACAGTAATTATGATATGCCATGTGTAGTATACCAGAAATGTTGGGTATACCATTTAACGAACTCTAACAAAATATACTATGATTTAACACTAATCATGGTATATCAATGTACACTACTAAAGAATATTGAGAATACCAGAATTTAATACGAATCATGGTATACCAAGATGTATTATACCATTTAACATACTCAAATAAAGTATACAATGATTCAACAATAATCATGGTATACCAATCAGTAATGTACCAAGAATATTAAAAAAAAAAAGGATTTTTACCTATCTATATCATATATGAAACCTTATTACCTTCAATGTTTAAGGTTTGATTTAATTACAAACTCGTATACCAAATTACCAATCTTATACCATACTTAATTAAGGGTCTAATTAATGGGCAGCTTTTACTCCTTAATTAAAGGTATCCATATATCACACGTTTCTCTCTCCCCTTAATTCCTAAGATCTGACCATATTCGTTTTCCCCCTCCCATTTCTTTCTCTTCTCCATTCCTTCTTCTTCTCAAAAAATTACAGAGATGAGACCCATTGAGTATATCATCTTCATCGTGGTAGATGTTTTCCGCCATCTGCCAGATTTGTAGTATATTGTCTTCAGCAATAATAGCGACGACCCAATCTTCACATGGGTTCCATGAGAAGTCAGAAATTTTACTTGTATGACCACCATGAATAAAGAGCAACTCTGGTGGCCCATCTTCTGCATCTTCTGCTGTTTTGTTCTTCATCAATCCTGGAAAAATTGATTTGTAGTTTATTTGTAGAAATTTTGTAGATAAAGAGAAGATTTTGTAGTCAATATTTTTTTTCAACATAGATTGTATTGTAATTGTACTATAAATGTAGTAATTTTGTAGATATCCTTCAAAACAAATACTGTTTTATACATACGTAAACTGATTTGTAGTTTCTTTGTAGATTTTTTGTAGAAAATTTGTAGATATCTACAAACTGGATACATTGAATTTTAATATCCCAATTCTCATTTCAAGTATAGCATAATTGGCATTTTCGACATAATTGTAGAAGATTTGTAGAAGTTTTAGTCTTCCCAATCTACAATTTATCTACAATTGATCTACAATTCTACAATTTATCTACAATTTCTAGAAATATGTTTTCTTCTTCTTCTTCTTCTTCTTCTTCTTCTTCTTCTTCTTCTTCTTCTTCTTCTTCTTCTTCTTCTTCTTCTTCTTCTACTTCGAGTTTCAATCTGAAATTTAGTCAAAACCAAGTTTAATCTTCACCAAAACCCCTCAAAATTGAGATATAAACTCCTAAACATATTCCGAATTATTTACAACAACACCCAATCCAAACAAATAATGATTTTTGAAAACCCAAATTTGAATTCAAAGCTTTCAAGCTTTTTAATGGCTATCAATGGTGGAAAATATATGGAAGAACATATTTTTTCAACTTTGAGTTGTTGAAACTCGAAAATTTGAATTGTTCATTTTTTTTCTCGAGAATTTGAATTGTAGTTCTGGAGAAAAATACGCAGATGAGAAATCTCCTTTCCCTTTTTAAAAATTGAATTTAATGTAAAATCAATTAACACCAAGATTCTCCTTAATTTTAGCGCGTTTTTAGGGAATATTCTGCCCTTTTAATGCCTAATAGTCGAATGGTATATAAATTATAGTTAAAGTGTGGACTGGGCGGGTAATTAACAAACTATGCACATTTAGGGTAATAAGGTTTCATATATGGTATAGTTAGGAAAAAATCCCTTAAAAAAAACCATTTAACATACTCAAACAAAATATACTGAAAATACTAGGAATATCCTAATTATTGAGTCATGGTATATCAATGTGTAATATACCAAAAATATTAAAAATATAATTTAATATACTCAAACAAGGAATACCATGATTCAATAGTAATCATGGTATACTACATACTATACTACAAATATTTGACTACCACTTAATATACTAAAATAAAGTATACCACAATTTAACTTTAATCATAGTATATAGTATAGTATACCACAAATATTGAGAAGGCCATTCAATATACCAATAATTACAGTATACCATAATTCAACAATAACCATGGTATACTATAATGGTATATATACAGAGAATATTGTGGATACAACTTAATATACCAATAATTACAGTATATCACGATTCAAATGTAACCATTATATACTATAAAGTATACCAAGAATATTGGGAATAACATTTAACATAAAATAAAGTATATTTGTTAAATATTAGCAGTAATCATAGTATATTAAACAGTATATTTCATGACATACTACATAGTATACGATATAGTATACCAAAGGATATTGTGAATACCATTTAGCATACTCAAACAAATTATAACATGATTAACCAGTAATCATGATGATTATGTAGTGTACCAAGAAATTAAGAACATCATTTAAAATTAAGAAAATACTTAATAGCATAATAAAATATTTTATTAACATGTGAAATAATATATTAACTACATTAATACAAATGAAAATACAATTTTGATATCATATTTATTTCCCTTTAAAATGCTGAAATATTTTTTGCCACTCTGATTACAAATAATTAAAAATGTAAAACGTATAAAGAATGGAAAAGTATATTACTAAACTCAATTTTTGAAAAGAATAATTAGTAAGCAAAATTTGCATAAGCATAGGAATTGGGCACACCCAACCTAGAAAGCCGGTGTTAAAGTATATTTATTCTTTTTTCAAGGAAATAATAACAATTTATAAGTTTTTTTCCCCTAAAATTATTAAAATTTATACTTTTTTTAACTATATAATAAGTGGAGGTTCTGAGGTATGACGAAAGACATTTTTAACTACTATATAATAAGTGGAGGTTCTGAGGTATGACGAAAGGCATTTTTGTAATTTCAGGAGTTCTTGTGGCTTTCATTTGTAAACACGTGTTATACAGGTGCCACTTTCTTTTTGCCATGTTGCTAATCTACTCTTCTATGTCTCACTCATTTACTATGTTTCTTAGCTCTTTCAGTATCAATTTTGCCTTCTCCATTTTTCTTGTGATTCATGTTTGAGTTTTTTCTTCGCTCCATCACATTCTTTTAGAGTCTTTAGTTTATTCTGCTCCTCTGCATTCTGCTTGTTGCATGTGAGTTTTAATTTTATTTTTCGAATTTGGGTTTTTTTTTAGTTGATTTTCTAATTGATTAATTTGATATTCTTTCAGATTTGCTGCTTTTCTCTGGTATTTAGGTTATAGTCATTTTGCATGCATCGATTTTTTACTTTATTGACAATGCCATCTCCAAATATTTTCCGTCCTAGTTGAAGTTTGTCTATGGAATCTATATTTTTGAATTCTGGTAAAAAAAAATATTTCTGCTCCTGTTTCTGGTGGATATTTGTTAATTTTATTTTTGCTACTCTCTTGCTGGGTTCTATAGATGCGTGTGTGTTGGCTAGGTTACGGAATTGACAAAAGATCTAATTTTTTGTTCGAAAATTAATTCACTCATCAGCTTATATTTTATTTGCTGAAAATTCACATTTTGGTTTTTTCCATTTTTAATTTAGAATTTTTGTTGTTCCTACAATTGTATGCATATGAATTTTCTCTTAAAATAGCTCATGGTTGCCAGTGATTTGTTTGATTCTCTCCAAATAGTAGCCAATGCTTTATGTATTTGCTACTTTATTATCATTCACTTTTTTTGTGAAGCAGAGGTGGGAGAGATGGGATCCATTATTCGTCGTCTCAGGTGCCGGTTTTTTGTGTATTTGTTGTCGTTATCTTTTCTGGTGAATATTATTTGGTGAAATGTTGGCTTCTTTATCTTTGGTTTCTTCTATGAGTAGTTGTCTATTATATTTTGTTTTGTATTTTGTGTTAGATGTAGTAATTTTTCTTTACTTTTTGGTGGATTATAAGAAGTTAAGTCAGCTCTATTCATGTGAATCAACGTGCAAAAAATAAAATTTTTGTTCAATAAATACATGTAAAGAGTGGAATTGGACAAGGGTGATTTACAGTTCTTATGTTTAAAAGGCATTTCTATTAGAGCCAGAAATTTTGATGTATAATTGGTCAAACTTGGGGCAAGAATACATAAGTTTCCTTCTTCCTTCGTAATTGCACATTCTAGAAACTGTTTCACTCTTCCATAACTCTATCCTCTTCTTTCTCTCTCAATTTTGATTTGAGTATTTGGCTCTAGCAATTTTGCATAACATGTAAGCAGTATTTTTTTGAGGATTTGCGTCTTTATCTTCAAATTCTATACGCTATATTTGTCGTGTCATCGCTGACTTTAGAAGGTACAGAAACTTCTAATGGCTATTCTGGAATTACCTGTGTCTTTGGCTCTTTTCATTAATTGATTATGCAATGCACGCTCTCTTTTTAATATTGGTGTCAATTTTTTTGTTCCTGTCCAAATTGCCTCAATTGACATTCTACTCTTTCTTATGTTGGTATGGGTTTTTCTGATGATAACCAGATATGTGTCGCTCATTTGCAGCTTTGGATATCACAGCATGCCTTGAAGAGCAGATAATAAGTTGTAACCAAATTGATAGTGAAGATGCTGATAATATAAATCAAGATGAATCAGTTGTTGCAATGATTGAAGAGCCAAACTCAGGTATTATATTAAAATCACTTTCTAGATTTCTCATCCTTGGGTCCTATTTTTCTTGACACCTGTTGTGGTTCTTAAATTTTTTGTAGTTTCTTGAATTCAGTATGACTTAAAATGATACTCTGATAAATTTTCAAAAATAGAAAGGATACAAATATGAAACATAATTGCAATTCCATGAGATATAAAAGGCTTGGTGACGGCTAACCTCGGAACAAATATTACTGCAAAATGGTTGTCCAGCCCCATTTGTCGGATCAGTTTGTCTCTTAAGGAGGTAGGTTTAAAGGACATTTGTTTCCATCGTTTAATATCGTTTTTATTATGCCAAGGCAACTTACATTAGGGAATTTATGTGATAGATTTTGAAACTGTTCTTCATGGTCTGCATAGGAAAATCAGATCATTCGTAAGTAAAGAGGCTATAAGCAAGCTGGTCAATTCTTTATCATAGATGGTTACTTTGTTATAGACCTAAGTTGCTCGGATTCGGGTGCGAGTATCCGATACGGGGACGGATCCGAGTATCGAATTCGGCAAAATCTAAATTTTAAGATTCGGGGTGCGTATCCGGATATAGATACGGGTGCGGGGATTCGGCTAATAAAAAATAGAGCTATAAAAATATTGTAAATTTTGAGAGATTCTATGAAAAACTTACATGAATATTGTAGAATTCAATCTTTCATTCTCCAAGATGGACATTATTCTTTCATTCTCCTAAATCTGTTTTATTTTTAATTTTGAGAAATCAAAATTTCAATTTTTCTCCCAAATTTATCGATGGACTCCGATCAAAGTGTCTGAAGTCAGTTGACCGTATTCGGGACGTATCCCGCTTCCGCTCCCATCCCCGTCTCGTATTGGGATGGGGACAACACTAAAATCGAAGAGTGCGCTACTTAGTTATAGACACCAGACCATACAGTCAAGCACAACAACTCGGTCTAAGAGATCTAGCTTAAAAAATTTCCTGAGTTGTTCTATTTTCAATCCGACATTACATATATAGAAATTTAGATATATTCAATATAAAAATATATTTATTGTGATGTAATTTATAAATATTTCTTAAATTTTTTCATAATTTTATCTTTTAAGGTATTATTTCAAGGTTGGACTTAGAACTTTTGAATGTTCCAATAATTTTTATAGCCATTAATATTAGTAAATTAAATAATTCTAACAAAAGCCAAACCAAGATCAAATCAATACTAACGCAAATAAAAAACATTTAATTCAATACTACGAACGGGAATGTATTGAATATCTATGTTTTGTTTTGCAATAATTTAGAGAAAAATGCATAACCTATTTTTATTTTAGCGTTTAGTCGTGTAATTAATATTTCCTTATTAGTCCACTTATTTTAGCATGACTTAGTATTTTTAGATTATGTTTATTTTTATTATGGCTTTTTAATTAGCAATATTTATATTACATAATTTTATTGTCTTTATTGTTAAATATTTTAGGATAATGCCATGACACATCTCATATTTTGTATTATTTTCTTGAAAAATACTTTATATAGTTGTATCTTACTATGATTAAAGAAATATTTTGAGCACAAGTTATATGTTTTGTTCTACGAAGATTTTACCGGAAAAAATATCCGAAAAACCCAAAAATACGAGAAAAACAAGAAAATATTAGTATTTTCCCTCCTTTTAAAACAGAAAGTATGATTTTCCCCTACTTATAAATTTAGTGCAAAGGCAGTGGTCAAAGTCTCAATTTGATCTGTCACCATATTAGTGTTTTCTCTTGAGAGACGAATTTGAGTTGATTTTTCCTCAAATATTAAGGTGAGTTGCAATTTTTGAGAAAAATACTTACCCTAATGAACATTTTTCTTGAAAATAATTGCCTCTGGAGGGAATTCTCGATTTAGCTAAAGATTTTAATGGTGAGTTTGATCTTTCTTTCAAAGAAGAATCTTGAAGAGGCAATAATGGTAATTGTTTTCCTGAGCTATAAAATTATTTGGACACAGAGACAATCAAATATCTTGGCATGGTAAACCCACGATGGTATGTGAGTTGAGGCTTTTCTATCACATGCAACAGGTTCTTTTGCAGCCATGGCGTGGTTTCCCTCTCTTGGTCTTGTAAGAAACAAAGTTGAGCCTCAATTATTTTCTTTTTTAGCCCTTGTTGGACTCTTAAAACATAAACCTATGGATTATGAGCACTATATTTCATGTGCGCGCGTTTTAGAAAATGTTGATTCTACCCTGGTGGATAAGTCTTGATGATGGGATATTATCATTATTTGAGGTTCTTATCTCTTTGTTTCTTTTTCATCTGCAAATTACTTGGTTACTCAGTGAAAAGCATTGTAGTGAAAGATGCATTTTGCATTATTCATATTAGATTGTTATTTTCAGATCTACTATCAAGCGGTCATTGAGAATAAGGTAAAAATGAAGTGTACGTATCTGGAAAATAAGGAGTCACAACTATTGTTGTTGGCACAGAACTACCGATGACACCAGTAAGTAACATTGATTGTCGAAGTCTTCAATATATANAAGTATGCGTTCGTGGTTTATACTTGTTGGTGCACTTGAAAAGAGTGAATCAACTCATATTTTTATGAAGATGCCAACTCAATGTCTTCTATCATTTAAAAAAAAATTTGTTTTTTATTGAGTGCAATAATGTCATACGACATTGAAAGTTGGTTTAATATTACTTAGATCCAGGTTGTTCATAGGTCCCCTTTTTTTTCCGTGACAAATATTCGTTCTCCTTTTTACAGTGTTTGAGTTTATAAAGGGTTTTCTGTAGATTTCTATTTGTCCCATTTGAAGCTATTGAAAAGTATATAACAAGTAACATGTATCTGTTTAGTGGGATCCCTTGGGAGAATAAAATGCTTTTCCAGCTTACATATAGGCATATATTCTCTCTTTTGATAGTTCTCTTTACCCCACCTTTCAAGGATGAGAGTAATAATCTTTCAGTTCCGGGTACTTATTAATCAGTTAAGGACTCCTCCTTAGACAACATCCTCCACATCAATTCAGCAACAATGATAAATCAAGTTCCTGTAAATGTATGTCATTTGCATAAGAAGTTTTTCTTTAGACTTTGCAAAGATGCCAATGCCATACTTGTAACTGTTATATCAGTGTCTGTCATCCAAGCAAGGTAAAAGATTCTCGGAGCTTGGAGAAAAATGATAGCTTTTTCTTAGAGGTTGGATTGGTCACTAAAAGTTAGGATTGTTGCAAATAACTCATCACTCACAAGTCACACTGTATCCTATAGAACTTTGTTCCAGAATGCATGAAAAAACTATGAAGTGTTAACATGTTATGCACATTGAATCAACTTGATAGTAGTGCTTCCTTTCTGGTGATCCTATGAAACAGAGACATAAATTATTTGGACACAGAGACAATCAAATCCTTATATTGGCATGGTAAACCCATGATGGTATGTGATTTGAGGCTTTTCTATCACATGAAACAGGTTCTTTTGCAGCCATGGCGTGGTTTCCCTCTCTTGTCCTTGTAAGAAACAGAGTTGAGCCTCAATTATTTTCTTATTAAACCCTTGTTGGACTCTTAACATATAGACCTATGGATTACGAGCACTATATTTCATGTGTGTGCATTTTAGTAAATGTTGATTCTACCCTGGTGGATTAGTCTTGATGATGGGATATTATCATTATTTGAGTTTCTTACCTCTTTGATTCTTTTCCATCTGCAAATTACTTGGTTACTCAGTGAAAAGCATTGTAGTGAAAGATGCATTTTTGTAACGACCTGGCCGGTCGTTTTAAGAATTTATACCCCGATCCCCTATTAAATACTTTTCTCATGTTTGTTTCTACTATTGTGAGTTGTCGGGAGGAATTATTGGGAGTTTCGGAGAGTTTTGGGACACTTAGACCCTAAATGAGAGCTAAAGTTTTGGAAATTTGGTTGTAGTTAGAACAGTATGAAGACGGCCTCAGAATGGAATTCTGATGGTTCCGTTAGCTCCGTTGGGTGATTTTGGGTTTAGAAACGTGTTCGGATGGTGTTTTGGAGGTCCGTGGCTAATTTAGGCTTGAAATGCCGAAAGTTGAATTTATGAAGTTTCCGGTTTGATAGTGAGATTTTGATCTAAGGGTCGGAATGGAATTACGGAAGTTGAAGTAGCTCTGTAGTGTTGAATTTAACGTGCGTGCAAAATTTCAGGTCATTCGGACAAGGTTTGATAGACTTTTTGATCGAAAGCGCATTTTGAGAGTTTTTGAAGTTCTTAGGTTTGAATCTGATGCTAAATTAGTGTTTTGATGTTGTTTTGAGCATTCTTAAGATTGGAACAAGTTTGAATAATGTTTTAGGATTGGTTGGAATGTTTGGTAGAGGTCCCGGGGGCCTCGAGTGTGTTTCGGATGCTCAACGGGGCATTTTGGGACTTGTTGAAATTGCAGAAAAATTGCAGCAGCCCAGTTCTGATTTCCTTCTTCCCGTTCGCAAGTAGGGTCTCGCGGCCGCGAAGAGGATCTGGGGCTGGGGGAATTTTTGTGCTTTGCGTTCGCGAAGAGTCTCCCACGTTCGCGAAGGTTGGAGGTTTCATACCTATGCGTTCGCGATGGTGTTCCCTCGTTCGCGTAGGACGAGGAGGCTGTGCATCGCGTTTGCATCCCGTGTATCACATTCTCGATGAAGGAATCTAGACCCAAGTGAATTTGTGCTTTGCGAATGCGAGGGGCCTTCCGCGTTCGCGAAGAAGGAATATCTGGGCAGTATTTAAATAGCCCATTCGCGACCCTTCTTCATTTTTCCACCATTTTTGAATGGGATTGAAGCTTTTGAGGGTGATTTTTGAGGAAACCACAGGGGAATCACTTGGAGGTAATATTTTTGACTTTATAACTCATTTATATGTTATTAAAGACCTAATTAGTGGTAAAAAATTTGGGAAAAATGAGTAATTAAGGCTTGAGATTAAGAGACCTTAACATGGGTATTTGAGGGGTCAATTGAACTCCGATTTCAGTGTTCTTATTATGTATAGACTCGTGAGAGTATGAGATTTCTAAAAATGTAAATTTCACCTGATTCCGAGATGTTGGCCCGAGGGGCATTTTGGTCATTTTACCTAATTTTGCGTATTAGCTTAGAATTTATTTGTAGAATCAATTACTTGAAGTGTTATTTACATTATGCAATTGGTGAATAGATTTGGGCCATTTGGAGTCGAGTACTCGTGGCAAGAACGTGGTTTCGGGTTGACTTTTGAGCCGGTTCGAGGTAAGTGGCTTGCCTAACCTTGTGTGGGGGACATTCCCCTTAGGATTTGGTATTGTGGTAATTGAAATACCTTGTACATGAGGTGACGAATGTGTACTTGTTGAAAAATCTTGTTTTCACTTAAGTAGCTTAAATTGTATTTTCCTTTCTTGCTTACTCTACTTGAAATTTAAATCTATTGTTAGCTTAGAAAAGCTAATTTACTTAATTGCTTTATTGTTTAAACTTCCATAATTATATTATGTGAAGTATGTTAAGTTAGAGTTACCTATTTTACTTGGTATGAAATTTAGCTTAATTGAGTATTCCTTGTGTTGTTGTTGTGTGTTTTACTTTGGGACTACGGGACGACATCCCGGAAGATCTCCTGTACATATTGATGATTTGAGTTGAGGTGAGGGATACCGAGAGATCCCTAGCATGTATATTGAGGATACCAAGAGATATCTTGCATATATTGAGGATACCAAGAGATCCTCGGGATACCAAGAGATCTCTGGCATGTATTGAGAGTACTAAGAGATCCTCAGGATACTGGGAGATCCCTGATTATTATCTTTGAGAACAGTGGTATTCCTAGTGATTGTTTTCTGTTTCAGTTGTAGTTATCCTTATTATCTTGTATTGATTCTTATGGTTATCTTTCAAATGTACTACTTTATCTTATACTGTCACATCTTATATTTTATTTAATCTCAATAGGGCCCTGACTTTCCTCGTCACTACCCGACCGAGGTTAGGCTTGGAACTTATTGAGTACCGTTGTAGTGTACTCATGCCCTTTTCTATGCATGTTTTTCATATGCAGATCCAGGTACCTCCACTCAGACTCATCACGCTTGAGACAAGGCGCTTGTAGAGACTCCGAGGTATATCTGCCGCGTCCCTAGACTGAAGAGTCCCTTTCTACTCCACCTTTTTAGTATTAGCCCTTTTGTATTTTCCTTTCCTTTGTTAGATATTCTGGAGTTAGATACTAGTAGACATTCAAAGGCTTGCGATCATGAGATTTCGGGTTTTGGGAAATGTGTTCAGATTTTGAGAGTTGTTGTTGTGTATTTCGAGTGGCACTTTTAAACACTATTTTATTTCACTATTTTGTTCTTATTATTTTCTTTCGCAAATTGGTTTATTTTCCAAATTGTTAGGCTTACCTAGTCGTAGAGACTAGGTGCTGTCACTATGGTTCACGGAGGGCGAATTGGGGTCGTGACAAGTTGGTATCAGAGCTCTAGGTTCATAGGAGTCATGAATCACAAGCCAGTTTATTAGAGTCTCGCTGATCGGTACGGAGACGTTTGTACTTATCTACGAGAGGCTATGTAACTGTTAGGAAAATTCCACTTCATTTGATTTCCTTGTCGTGCGAGATTTTGATATCACTATTCAAAACTTCTGTCTTCTATTCTCTCATAGATGGTAAGGACATGCGCTACCCGAGATGATCAGGCACCCGCGCCCCCTACTGCAGCCATGAGAGGCCGGGGCCGGGGTAGAGGCCGAGGGCTAGCACGTGGTGCAGCCAGAGCATCTGTGCGAGCTGCCACCGAGGCACCACCAGCAGTTCCAGTCGGAGTCCAGGCGCCTGATATGCCTACTGGTACTACTACTCCAGCACTTCAGGAGACTCTGGTACAGTTCATGAGCATGTACACCACTTTGGCTTAGGCAGGGTTGCTTCCCCTTGCTGCAGCTACATCTCAGGTAGCGGGAGGAGCACACACCGCCCGCACTCCTGAGCAGGGAGTGCATGTTGATCAGGTCCTAGAGATTATTCCTGTACAGCCTGTAGCCCAGGTCAGCCTGAGGACAAGGCAGCGGTTTCAGAGGATGCGCAGCGGAGGCTTGACAGGTTCAAGAATTATGATCCTCCTGTATTCAGTGGGTTAGCCTCAGATGATGCCCTGGGATTTCTGGAGGAGTGTCACCGTATCCTCTGCACTATGGGTATATCAGGATCGAGTGGGGTGTCTTTCACTACCTTCCAGCTTCGAGGAGCTGCCTATGAGTGGTGGTGTACCTATGAGTTAGATAGTCTGGATGAGGCAGCTTCACTGACTTGGACTCGGTTTTCAGATATGTTCCTGAGAGAGTTTGTTCCTCAGAGCCTCAGGGGCGCATGGCGCTTAGAGTTTGAGCATTTGCATCAGGGTGCTATTATTATCTCGGTGTATGTTGTCTGTTACACCAATTTAGCTAGACATGCCCCAGCCTTGGTTTCTATTGTTCGTGAGAGGGTTTGCCGGTTTATTGAGGGGCTTATTCCCAGCATTAGGTCTAGCATGGCTCGTGAGTTGGAGATGGATATTTCTTATCAATAGGTGGTGAGTATTGCTAGGAGGATTGAGGGTATGCATGCTAGGGAGAGAGAGGAGAGGGAGGCCAAGAGGTATAAGAGTCGGGCCATTATTCTGGTGCCCCTGCCCCAGCTGCAGGTCGTCATAGTAAGGGTTATATGATTTGCCATGTTCAGCTCTTCCAGCAACCAGTGGTATTCCAGCTCCTTCTAGGCCTCAGGAGCCTTATTATGCACCTCCGATATCTAGCGCACCTCCTGCGCGGGGTGCTTTAAGAGGTCAGTCCAGCAGACTTGGCCTGAGCCAGTCACAGCCGCCATGTCCTCCCAGAGCTTGTTTTGAGTATGGTGACACACGCCATGTGGTAAGGGATTGCCCTAGACTTGGGAGGAGTGCGCCTCCACAGACTTCTCAGCCACAACGTGCCCCACAGAGTTCTCAAGCTATGGTTACAGCTCCAGTTGCTACCCCACCTGCTCAGCCAACTAAAGGTGGAGGTCGGGGAGGTAGAGGTCACCCTAGAGGGGGAGGCCAGGCCCGATACTATGCCCTTCCTACCCGTACCGAGGCTGCTGCCTCTGATTCTGTCATTACAGGTATTATACTGGTTTGTCATAGAGATACATCGATTCTATTCGATCCAGGATCCACTTACTCTTATGTGTCTTCTTGTTTTGCTTCGTATTTGGGTGTACCTTGGGATTCATTGAGTTCCCCTGTTTATGTTTCTACTCATATGGGAGATTCTCTTGTTGTGGACCGTATTTAGGTCGTGTTTGGTTGCTCTGAATGGTTTTGAGACCAGAGCCGATTTATTGTTACCTAGCATGGTAGATTTTGATATTATCTTGGGCATGGACTGGTTGTCACCCCATTATGCTATTCTTGATTGTCACACCAAAATCGTGATGCTGGCTATGCCAGGTGTAATGCATGTTGAGTGGAGGGGTACTTTAGATCACACTCCCAGTAGAGTTATTTCTTTCCTTAAGGCTCAATGAATGGTTGAGAAGGGGTGCGACACGTATTTAGCTTACGTGAGAGATATCGATATTGATACCCCTTTAATTGATTCAGTCCCAGTAGTACGGGATTTTCCTGATGTGTTTCCAGCTAATCTTCCGGGCATGCCGCCTTATAGAGATATTGATTTTGGCATTGATCTGTTGTCGGGCACTCAGCCTATTTTTATTCCTTCGTATCATATGGCTCCTCCTGAGTTGAAAGAGTTGAAAGATCAGTTACAAGAATTGCTTGATAAGGGTTTTATTCGGCCTAGTGTATCACCTTGGAGTGCTCCTATTTTGTTTGTGAAGAAAAAGGATGGTTCTATGTGTATGTGTATTGATTATCGCCAGTTGAACAAAGTTACAGTGAAAAACCATTATCCTTTGCCTCGTATTGATGATCTGTTAGACCAGCTTCAGGGCGCACGGGTGTTTATTAAGATTGACTTGTGCTCAGGTTACCATTAGTTGAAGATTCGGGAGCCAGATATCCCGAATACTGTTTTTAGGACTCGGTATGGTCATTACAAGTTCCTTGTTATGTCATTTGGTCTGACCAATGCCCCAACACCCTTTATGCATTTGATGCATAGTGTGTTCCGGCCGTATCTTGACTCATTCGTCATTATCTTTATTGATGATATTCTAGTGTATTCCTGGAGTCGGGAAGATCATGAGCAGCACCTGAAGACAGTGCTTCAGACCTTGAGAGAAAAGAAGTTATATGCTAAGTTCTTGAAATGTGAGTTTTGGTTGGATTCTGTGGCATTCTTAGGCCACGTGGTGTCGAGTGAGGGTATTCAGGTGGATCCGAAGAAAGTAGAGGCAGTGCAGAGTTGGCCCAGACCATCCTCAGCTATAGAGATCCGCAATTTTCTTGGCTTGGCGAATTATTACCGTCATTTTGTTGAGGAGTTTTCATCAATTGCAACCCCTATATCTAGGTACCTAGAAGGGTGCTCCATTCCAGTGGACGGAAGAGTGTGAGGCGAGCTTTCAGAAGCTCAAGACAGCTCTAACTACAGCCCAATTTTGATATTGCCTACAGGTTCGGGGTCTTACACTATTTATTGTGATGCCTCGAGGATTGGCCTTGGAGCAGTTTTGATGCTGGACAGTAGGGTGATTGCCTAAACGTCCAGACAATTGAAGGTTCACGAGAAGAATTATCCGGTCCACGACCTTGAGTTAGCTACCATTGTTCACACCTTGAAGATCTAGCGTCATTATTTGTATGGTGTGCCTTGTGAGATTTATACTGATCATCAGAGCTTGCAGCACCTGTTCAAGCAAAAGGATCTAAACTTGCGCCATAGGAGGTGGTTAGAGTTGTTAAAGAACTATGATATCACTATTTTATACCACTCGGGCAAGGCCAATGTGGTGGCTGATGCCTTGAGTCGCCGGGAAAAGAGTTTTGGGAGTTTGGCTTATTTACCAGCATCGGAGAGGCCTATGGCGATGGATGTTCAGGCCTTAGCCAGCATCGGGTTCTAGCTTGCGTGGTTTCTCGGTCTTCCTTATTTGATCGTATCAGGGAGTGTTAGTATGATGACCTTCATTTATTTGTCCTCAAGGCAAGGTTTAGCATGGTGATGCCAGAGATGTGACCATTGGTGATGACGGGGTATTGAGGATGCAGAGTCGGATTTGTGTACCCAATGTTGACGGGCTTCGGGAGTTAATTCTAGAGGAGGCCCATAATTCACGGTATTCCATTCATCCGGGTGCCACGAAGATGTATCAGGATTTGAGATAGCACTACTGGTAGAGGCAGATGAAGAAAGATATAGTTGGATTTGTAGCTCGGTGCCTCAACTGTCAGCAGGTGAAGTATGAGCACCAGAGACCGGGTGGGTTGCTTCAGCAGATAGAGATCCCGGAGTGGAAGTGGGAGCGGATCACCATGGACTTTGTAGTTGGGCTTCCACGGACTTTGAGAAAGTTCGATGTTATTTGGGTGATTGTGGATCGACTGACCAAGTCTGCACACTTCATTCCTATGTGTACTACTTATTCGTCGGAGCGGTTGGCAGAGATTTATATCCGGGAGATTGTTCGTCTGCATGGTATTCAAGTTTCCATCATTTTCAATAGGGGCACTCAGTTCACATCACGATTCTGGAGGTCCGTTCAGCATGAGTTGGGTACTCGGGTGGAGTTGAGTACAACATTTCACCCTCAGACGGATGGACAGTCTGAGCGCACTATTCAGATTCTTGAGGATATGCTCTGTGCATGTGTGATTGAGTTTGGAGGGTCTTGGGATCAGTTCTTGCCATTTGCAGAGTTTGCCTACAACAACAACTATCAGTACAACATTCAGATGGCACCATACGAGGCTTTATATGGTAGGCGGTATAAATCCATTGTGGGTTGGTTTGAGCCGGGTGAGGCCAGATTATTGGGCATAGACTTGGTTCAGGATGCTTTGGAAAAGGTTAATGTGATTCAGGATAGACTCCATACAGCCCAGTCTAGATAGAAGAGCTACGCGGATCGGGAGGTTCGTGATGTTTCCTATATGGTTGGAGAGCGGGTACTGCTTCGGGTTTCGCCTATGAAGGGTGTTATGAGATTTGGGAAGAAGGGGAAGTTGAGTCCGAGGTTTATTGGCCCTTTTGAGATATTGAGGCATGTTGGGGAGGTTGCTTATGAGTTTGCCTTACCTCCCAGCTTGGCAGGTGTTCATCCGGTATTTCATGTTTCTATGCTCCGGAGATATCACGGTGATCCGTCGCACATGTTAGATTTCAGTTCAATCCAGTGGACAAAGATCTATCTTATGTTGAGGAGCCAGTGGCAATATTGGACAGGTAGGTTAGAAAGCTGAGGTCAAAGAACATTGCATCAGTGAAGGTTCAGTGGTGGGGTCAACCGGTCGAGGAAGCCACCTGGGAGACCGAGCAGGATATGCGTAGTCGTTACCCTCATCTTTTCACAACTTCAGGTATGTTTCTATGCTCGTTCGAGGACGAACGAATATTTAAGTGTGGGAGGATGTAACGACCCGACCAGTCGTTTTAACAATTTATGCCCTGATCCCCTATTAACTGGTTTCCCCGTGTTTGTTTTTGCTATTATGAGTTGCCAGGAGGAATTATTGGGAGTTTCAGAGAGTTTTGGGACATTTAGTCCCTAAATGAGAGCTTAAGTTTAGCAAATTTGACTGTAGTAGGAATAGTGTGAAGACGGCCTCGGAATGGAATTTCGATGATTCTATTAGCTCTGTTGGGTGATTTTGGGTTTAGGAGCGTGATCGGATGGTGTTTTGGAGGTTTGTGGCTAATTTACGCTTGAAATGCCGAAAGTTGAATTTTTGAAGTTTCCGGTTTGATAGTGAGATTTTGATCCGAGGGTCAGAATGGAATTCCGAAAGCTGGAGTAGCTCCGTAGTGTTGAATGTGACGTGTATGCAAAATTTCAGGTCATTCGGACGAGGTCTGATAGACATTTTGATAGAAAGCGTATTTTGAGAGTTTTTGAAGTTCTCAGGCTTGAATCCGATGCTAAATTGGTGTTTTGATGTTGTTTTGAGCATTCCGGAGACTGGAACAAGTTTGAATGATGTTTTAGGATTGGTTGGCATGTTTGGTTGAGGTCCCGGGGGCCTCGGGTGTGTTTGGGATGCTCAACGGGGCATTTTGGGACTTGTTGAAATTGCAGAAAAATTTCAGCAGCCCAGTTCTGGTTTCCTTCTTCGCGCTCATGAGTAGGGTCTCGCATTCACGAAGAGGAGCTGGGTTTGGAGGAGTTTTTGTGCTTCGCGTTCGCGAAGAGTCTCCCGCATTCGCGAAGCTAGGAGGTTTCATACCTACGCGTTCGCAATGGTGTTCCCGCGCTCGCGTAGGAGGAGGAGGTTGTGCATCGCGTTCGCGATGAAGGAAGCTGAACCCAAGCGAATTTGTGCTTCACGAATGCGAGGGGCCTTTCGCGTTCGCGAAGAAGGAATATCTGGGCAGTATTTAAATAGCCCATCCGCGATCCTTCTTCATTTTTCCACCATTTTTGAATGGGATTGAAGCTTTTGAGGGTGATTTTTGAGGAAACCAAAGGGGAATCACTTGGAGGTAATATTTTTGACTTCATAATTCGTTTATATGTGATTAAAGACCTAATTAGTGGTGAAAAATTTGGGGAAAATGGGTAATCAGGGCTTGAGATTAAGAGACCTTAACATGGGTATTTGAGGGGCCAATTGAACTCTGATTTTAGTGTTCTTATTATGTATAGACTCGTGAGAGTACGAGGTTTCTGAAAATATAAATTTCACCCGATTCCGAGACGTGGGACTGAGGGGCATTTTGGTCATTTTACCTAATTTTGCGTATTAGCATAGAATTTATTTGTAGAATCAGTTACTTGAAGTGTTATTTACATTATGCAATTGAATAGAATAGATTTGGGTCATTTGGAGTCGAGTACTCGTGGCAAGAACGTGGTTTTGGGTTGACTTTTGAGCCGGTTCGAGGTAAGTGGCTTGCCTAACCTTGTGGGGGGGACATTCCCCTAGGATTTGGTATTGTGGTAATTGAAATGCCTTGTACGTGAGGTGACGAGTGCGTACTTGTGCTAATTGTTGAAAAATCCTATTTTCACTTAAGTAGCGTAAATTGTGTTTTCCTTTCTTGTTTACTCTACTTGAAATTTAAATCTGTTGTTAGCTTTGAAAAGCATATTTAATTTACTTAATTGCTTTATTGTTTAAACTGCCATAATTATATTATGTGAAGCTTGTTAGGTTAGAATTACTTATTTTACTTGGTACGAAATTTAGCTTAATTGAGTATTCCTTGTGTTGTTGTTGTGTGTTTTACTTTGGGACTACGGGACGACATCCCAGGCGATCCCCTGTACATATTAATAATTTGATTTGAGGTGAGGGATACCGAGAGATCCCTAACACGTATATTGAGGGTACCAATAGATCCTCGGGATACCAAGAGATCCCCGACATGTATTGAGGGAACTAAGAGATCCTCGGGATACTGGGAGATCCCCAATTATTGTCTTTGAGAAGAGTGGTATTCCCGGTGATTGTTTTCTGTTTCTGTTTCAGTTGTAGTTATCCTTATTATCCTGTGTTGATTCTTATGATTATCTTTCAACTGTACTGCTTTATCTTATACTGTCACATCTTATATTTTATTTAATCTCAGTAGGGCCCTGACCTTCCTCGTCACTACCCGACCGAGGTTAGGCTTGGTACTTACTGAGTACCACTGTGTTGTACTCATGCCCTTTTCTGTGCATATTTTTCATGTGCAGATCCAGGTACCTCCACTCAGACTCATCAAGCTTGAGACGAGGCGCTTGTAGAGACTCCGAGGTATATCTACCGCTTCCGCAGACCAAAGAATCCCTTTCTACTCCCCCTTTTTATTATTAGCCCTTCTGTATTTTCCTTTCCTTTATTAGATATTCTGGAGTTAGATACTAGTAGACATTCAAAGGCTTGTGATCATGAGATTCCGAGTTTTGGGAAATGTGTTCAGATTTCGAGAGTTGTTATTGTGTATGCCGAGCAACACTTTTAAACACCATTTTATTTCACTATTGTTCTTATATTTTCTTCCGCAATTGGTTTATTTTCCGCATTGTTAGGATTACCCAGTCGTAGAGACTGGGTGCCGTCACGATGGTTCACGGAGGGCGAACCGGGGTCGTGACAATTTTGCATTATTCACATTATATTGATATTTTCAGATCTACTATCAAGCGGTCATTGAGAATAAGGTGAAACTGAAGTGTACGTATCTGGAAAATAAGGAGTCACAACTATTGTTGCTGGCGTAGAACTACCGGTGACACCAGTAAGTAACATTGATTGCCGAAGTTTTCAATATATATATAAAGCATTAGTGATACCATTCACATTCATAGTGTGAAAGTATGCGCTCGTGGTTTATACTTGCTGGTGCACTTGAAAAGAGTGAATCAACTCATATTTTTATGAAGATGCCAACTCAATGTTTTCTATCATTTAAAGAAAATTTTATTTTCTGTTGAGTGCAATAATGTCATACGACATTGAAAGTTGGTTTTATATTGCTTAGATCCAGGTATTTCATAGGTCCCTTTTTTTTCCGTGACAAATATTCGTTCTCCTTTTTACAATGTTTGAGTTTATAAAGGGTTTTCTGCAGATTTGTATTTGTCCCATTTGAAGCTATTGAAAAGCATATAACAAGTAACATGTATCTGTTTAGTGGGATCACTTGGGAGAATAAAATGCTTTTCCAGCTTACATATATGTCACGACCCTAAACCCGAACCCGGTCGTGATGGCGCCTCTCATGAGGACAAGGCCAGCCAATTATACCCAATTCACTTTTTAAACAGTTAAATATCATAAAAGCAGTCTAAAACATGATATAGCAATACTAAGTAGCGGATAATGTCAATAAGGTGCGGAAGTACAACCCAACACAGCCCTAACCGGGGTGTCACAAGTCACGAGCATCTACTAGGGTATAAATATAACTGAAAGCCTGGAGTGTACAAATACAATCTAATGAAAAGAAGAGAGAGAAAAGCAGTGTTGCGAACGCCGACATCTACCTTACTAAACTCTGATGACTCTGCCTCCGATCAGCCAAAACATACATGAATATACACACAAGGTTCATGGAGTAATGTGAGTACTCCGACTCAGTGAGTAATAATAATAAATAAAGACTGAAGGCAAGAAATCACGTAAAACATATCAAGATGTTGTATAGAAGCAGTCCAAAACCAGTAAAAAAGCAGTGAAGCTATAAAAATCTCTTAAAATATCTTAGCTCAATTTGAACTTCTTTAGAAATGACTTTTTCAACAGTTACGCAAACGAATGCAAACAATTAGTACAGATAAGAATAGAAATCCGCCTCTCTGGCATAAATACACAATCAACAGGTAATGACAGGCAATTAAGAAGATAAACACATAAAGGTTCGCCCCTCGGACACAATCTCAGAACAGTACCAGCCCCTCGGGCTATATCTCATATCACAATGGGTATCTGCGCTCACTGGGATGTGTAGACTCCGGGAGGGGCCCCTTACGGCCCAAACACAGTATCAAGCCATCTCGTGGCATCAAATCTAGGCCATCGGCCTCATATCAATCAACAAGCCACCTCGTGGCGTACATATCTCAGGCCCTCAGCCTCATAATCAAATCAGTATCTCACTGTTGCGGCGTGCAGCCCGATCCAAAAGTATCCTCACAATACAGGCCCTCGGCCTTACTTAGTCAAAAATCACATAAGCCACATAAGCGGTCATTTCATGTGGTAAAGCAAAATAAACTTGGTTGAGTTTTGAAAACATTGGAAAATAACATGACTGAGTTCAACTATAAAATCAAAACAGTGAGGAAATATCAACAACAATCCCCGAAGGGTCCAAATAGCTGGCACTAGGCTCAGATATGACATTCAACCCAAATAATAATGATAGCAATTAGTTTTCAGTCAAATACGCAGTAAAAATCATCAATCGGGATGGACCAAGTCACAATCCCCAATAGTACACGACCCCACGCTCGTCGTCAAGCGTGTGCCTTACCTTAATATAGCACTACGATTTACAATCCGGGGTTTCAAACCCTCAAAACATCATTTACAATCATTACTCTCCTGTATCCGGTCCGAACTCTAACCCGCGATGCCTTTGCCTCTCGAATCGGCCTCCGAATGCTCCAAATCTAGCCGAAATCAGTACCAAACCATCAAAATATGCTAAGGGAACAAAGCCCACTTGAAAATAACCAAATTACCACAAAATTCCCGAAATTGGTCAAACCCGACCCCCCGGGCCCACAACTCGAAATTTGGCAAAATTCACAAAACTAAAATCCTTATACTCTCACGAGTCTAACCATACGAAAATTATCCAATTCCGATACCATTTGGTCCTTCAAATCATCATTTTACATTTTTAAAAGATTTTACAATTTCTTCCCAAATTTCATCCCAAATCACGAATTAAATGATGAATTCAAAGATAGATTCATGTACTCTAGCCAAATCTGAGTTAGAATCACTTACCCCGATGAATTTCTTGAAAAACCTTCGAAAAATCGCCAAAATCCGAGCTCTCTCGGTCAAAATATCAAATAAAATCCAAAACCTCGTATTTATAGAGTACCCCACAGATTTTCACCATAGAGGACCGCACAAACTCGACCGCGGTCCGCACAAAACCAGTGCGGTCCGCACAAAAACTACTGCGGCCGCACAGACTTTCCTTTGCAGTGACAGACTTTAGTATTTTGGCCATAACTTTCGTTACTAATGTCCAAATTGCGGTATATTTACCTTTCTAGAAACTAGACATGAAGAGCTACAACTTTCGTTTTTGAATCATCTCAAAATTCCTTGTATATCAAAAGATATGAGTTTCCGAAGTAGGACTAGTGAAATGTCCCCCACTGCGGTCGCACTGCATTTTGTGCAGTCCGCACAGCACCTACCGCAACCGCACTTCATTTTGTGCGGTCCGCACAGCACCTACCGCGGCCTCACTTCATTTTGTGCGGACCGCACGGGTGGGTTCCGAGGCCTGCAACCCTTCTAGACCTGCTACAACTATGATTTTCGTCTTAAAACATCCCGGAACCTACCCGGAACTCCCGGAACTTCAAACCAATTGTATCAATACATCCCATGACATTGTTCAAACTTGTTCAAAACTTCAGAATACTCACAACAACATCAAATCACCAATTTAACATAGGATTCAAGTCTAAAAACTCTTAAATTATGCTTTCAATCAAAAAGCCTATCAAATCTCGTGCGAATGACCTAAAAGTTTGCACACACATCCCAAATGACACAACGAAGCTACTGCAACTCTCGGAATTCCATTCCGACCCCTATATCAAAATCTCGCCTATCAACCGGAAAACGCCGAAATCTCAATTTCGCCAATTCAATCCTAAACCTTCCACGAACTTCCAAAATGCATTCCGATCACGCTCCTAAGTCCCAAATCACCTAACGGAGCTAACCAAACCATAAAAATTCCAATCTGAGATCAAATATACACAAGTCAAATCTTGGTCAAACCTTTCAAATTTTAAGCTTTCAATTGAGACTGTTCTTCCAAATTCATTCTGATTAACCCGAAACACAACACCAACAATTTACAAAAGTCATAATATACCACACGGGGCAAGTCATGCCCGAGAACTGGCGAGCGAAGTGCAAAAGCTCAAAACGACCGGGCGGGCCGTTACAATATAGGCATATCTTCTCTCTTTTGATAGTTATCTTTACCCCACCTTTCAAGGATGGGAGTAATCATCTTTCAGTTCCAGGTACTTATCAATCAGTTAAGGACTCCTCCTTAGACGACATCCTCCACATTCAATTCAGCAACAATGATAAATCAAGTGCTTGCAGATGTATGTCATTTGCATAAAAAAAATTCTTTAGACTTTGCAAAGATGTTAATATCATACTTTAACTGTTATATCAGTGTCTGTCATCCAAGCAAGGTAAAAGAAGATCTCTCGGAGCTTGGAGAAAAATGATAGCTTTTTCTTAGAGGTTGGATTGGTCATTGAAAGTTAGGATTGCTGCTTAGGATTGCTGCAAACAACTCATCACTCACAAGTCACAATGTATCCTCTAGAACTTTGTTCCAGAATGCATGAAAAAACTATGAATTGTTAACATGTTGTGCACATTGAATCAACTTGATAGTAGTGCTTTCTTTCTGGTGATCCTATGAAATACTTCAAATAAGTATGAAAATATTTTTTCGGTGTTGAACTTTTTAAAGTAATCTTGTAAATGTACACACAAATAATAGTGTCGGGCATAAGCCCATGCATTGCACGTGCACCGCCATCTAGTACTTTAAATAAGGGGGAACCACGTTCGTCACTTTCTTCTATTTGCTGTCGAAACAACTATTTTTGACGGTGCCATTCCTAGATTTTTTTTTCTTTTTAACATTTTCATCATAAGCAAACTTCAATTGAATACTTAAAATTTAACCAATATGATATAATATTATAAATTAGATACCAATTTTATCTTAAATACAGAGAAATCAGTTTAACCTCATCATATTTTGGAGAAAATAAAAAAGCTATATTCAGAAAACTTAGTTGGATCATATTTTCTTAATTTCTAGGTTGAAACCTCAAAAAATAGAGTAACCGAGGAAAAGGAAAATGGGATTTACGATTTTTTAGATCTGCTTCTTCTATTTTGGCTATTTCAAATAGCGTCGTATGAATAGTGAATTCGAGAGTCCTAGAAGAAAGGGGCATGAGTGTGGGTCTGAAGGAGAGAAGAATGTGAGAAAGCTGCATTATCGGTGGTGATTCCATTCATCCGTATGTGTTTGTGTTCTGTATTTATGCAAGCTTTTTATCGAATAAGACCACATTTAGGCCTCGTCAGTTTGACAGTCAATATGTGAACCCTCTAGAAATTTAGCCTATTAAGTGCGTTTTTTTTTTAGGATTCCACCACTTATTGGGTCTGAAGTGATCTGATTCACCCAGATCTGTGATGGAGTCTTAAATTGTTCAGACGTAAAACACGGGTTTTTAATATAACTTCCCGCAACAAATCATATACGCATTTTTCACTAACTGCTTTTCTCTTTGCAGGATAAACACAACATCAATTCTCATGGCTTTTGTCAAACTCCAAAATTAATTCTTCCACCTGTTCTTC